AACCAATTGTTTCACTTGCATTCTGGGCCTCAGCATGAGGCGACGTACTGCCACTCAATGCTTTTCGATACGGCGCAAGCGCACCAGGTGACCCACGAAGGGGTGGGTCACCAGACAACTGGTTGAGAAAAACAAGTTGTTTCACTTGCATCCTGGGCCTCAACATGAGGCGACGCACTGCCACTCAATGCGTTTTCCATACGGCGCAAGCACACCAGGTGACCCACGAAGGGGGTGGGTCACCAGAAAACTGGTTGAGAAAAACCAATTGTTTCACTTGCATTCTGGGCCTCAACATGAGGCGACGCACTGCCACTCAATACGTTTTCCATACGGCGCGAGCACACCAGTTGACCCACGAAGGGGTGGGTCACAAGAAAGCTGATTGAGAAAAACCAGTTGTTTCACTTGCCTTCTGGGCCTCAACATGAGGCGACGCATTGCCACTCAATGCGTCTTCCATGCGGCGCAAGCACATCAGGTGACCCACGAAGGGGTGGGTCACCAGAAAACTGATTGAGAACAACAAATTGTTTCACCTGCGTCCTGGGCCTCAACATGAGGCGACGCATTGCCATTCAATATGTTTGCCATACGGCGCAAGCACACCAGGTGACCCACGAAGGGGTGGGTCACCAAAAAAACGGTTGAGAAAAACCAATTGTTTCACCTGCATTCTGGGTCTCCACATGGGGCGACGCACTGCCACTCTATACGTTTTCCATACAGCGCAAGCACACCGGGTGACCCACCAAGGGGTGGGTCACCAGAAAACTGGTTGAGAAAAACTATTTGTTTCACCTGCATTCTGGGCCTCAACATGAGGCGAGGCATTGCCACTCAATACGTTTTCCATGCGGCGCAAGCACACCAGCTGACCCACGAAGGGGTGGGTCACCAGAAAACTGGTTGAGAAAAAACATTGTTTCACTTGCAGTCTGCGCCTCAACATGAGGCGACGCACTGCCACTCAATATGTTTGCCATACGGCGCAAACACACCAAGTGACCCACGAAGGGGTGGGTCACCAGAAAACTGGTTGAGAAAAAACAATTGTTTCACGTGCGTTCTGGGCCTCAACGTGAGGCGATGCATTGCCACTCAATACGTTTACCACGGCGCAAGCACACCGGGTGACCCACGAAGGGGTGGATCATCAGAAAACTGGTTGAGAAAAACCAGTTGTTTCACTTGCCTTCTGGGCCTCAACATGAGGCGACGCACTGCCACTCAACGCGTTTTCGATACGGCGCAAGCACACCAGGTGACCCACCAAGGGGTGGGTCACCAGAAAACTGGTTGAGAAAAACCAATTGTTTCACGTGCATTCTGGACCTCGTCATTAGGCGATGCGTTGCCACTCAATACGTTTCCCATACGGCGCAAGCGCACCAGGTGACCCACGAAGGGCTGGGTCACCAGAAAACTGGTTGAGAAAAATCAATTGTTTCACTTGCATTCTGGGACTCAACATGAGGCGACGCATTGCCACTCAATACGTTTTCCACACGGCGCAAGCCAACCCGGTGACCCACGAAGGGGTGGGTCACCAGAAAACTGGTTGAGAAAAACCAAATGTTTCACATGCATCCTGGGCCTGGTCATGAAGCGACGCACTGCCACTCAATATGTTTGCCATACGGCGCAAGCACACCAGGTGACCCATGAAAGGGTGGGTCACCAGAAACCCGGTTGAGAAAGGCCAACTGTTTCACTTGCATTCTGGGCCTCGGCATGAAGCGAGGCACTGCCACTCAATACGTTTTCCATGCGGCGCAAACACACCAGGTGACCCACGAAGGGGTGGGTCACCAGAAAGACGGTTAAGAAAACCAATTTGTTTCACTTGCATTCTGGGCCTCAACATGAGGCGACGCACTGCCACTCAATGCGTTTTCGATACGGCGCAAACACACCAGGTGACCCACGAAGGGGTGGGTCACCAGAAAACTAGTTGAGAAAAACCAATTGTTCCACTTGCATTCTGGGCCTCAACATGAGGCGACGCATTGCCACTCAATATGTTTACCATGCGGTGCAAGCGCACCAGGTGGCCCACGAAAGGGTGGGTCACCAGAAAACTGGGTGAGAAAAACCAATTGTTTCACTTGCATCCTGGACCTCGCCTGAGGCGACGCACTGCCACTCAATAGGTTTTCGATACGGCGCAAGCGCACCAGGTGACCCACGAAGGGGTGGGCACCAGAAAACTGGTTGAGGAAAAACAACTGTTTCACTTGCATCGAGGGCCTCCCCATGAGGCGATGCATTGCCACTCTATACGTTTTCCATACAGCGCAAGCACACCAGGTGACCCACGAATGGGTGGGTCACCAGAGAACTGGTTGAGAAAAAACCAATTGTTTCACAGGCATTCTGGTCCTCAACATGAGGCGACGCATTGCCACTCAATACGTTTTCCATGCGGCGCAAGCACACCAGGTGACCCACGAAGGGGTGGGTCACCAGAAAACTGGTTGAGAAAAACCAATTGTTTCACCTGCATCCTGGGCCTCGTCATGAGGCGACGCACTGCCACTCAATATGTTTACCATACAGCGCAAACACAACAGGCGACCCACGAAGGCGTGGGCCACCAGAAAACTGGTTGGGAAAAACCAACTGTTTCACTTGCATTCTGGTCCTCAACGTGAGGCGACGCATTGCCACTCAGTACGTTTGCCATACGGCGCAAGCACACCGGGTGACCCACGAAGGGGTGGGTCACCAGAAAACCGGTTGAGAAAAACACATTGTTTCACTTACATTCTGGGCCTCAGCATGAGGCGATGCATTGCCACTCGATACGTTTTCCATACGGCGCGAGCACACCAGGTGACCCACGAAGGGGTGGGTCACCAGAAAACTGGTTGAGAAAAACCAAGTGTTTCACTTGCATTCTGGGCCTCAACATGAGGCGACGCATTGCCACTCAAAGCGTTTTCCATGCGGCACAAGCACACCGGGTGACCCACGAAGGGGTGGGTCACCTGAAAACTGATTGAGAACAATCAAGTGTTTCACCTGCATCCTGGGCCTCAACATGAGGCGACGCATTGCCACTCAATATGTTTGCCATACGGCGCAAGCACGCCAGGTGACCCACGAAAGGGTGGGTTACCAGAAAACCGGTTGAGAAAAACCAAATTGTTTCACTTGCATTCTGGGCCTCAACATGAAGCGATGCACTGCCACTCAATAGGTTTTCCATGCGGCGCAAGCACACCAGGTGACCCACGAAGGGGTGGGTCACCAGAAAACTGGTTGGGAAAAACACATTGTTTCACGTGCATTCTGGGCCTCAACACGAGGCGACGCACGACCACTCAATGCGATTTCGAAAGGTCGCAAGCACACCAGGTGACCCACGAAGCGGTGGGTCACCAGAAAACTGGTGGAGAAAAACACATTGTTTCACTTGCATTCTGGGCCTCAGCATGAGGCGACGCATTGCCACTCAATACGGTTTCCATACGGCACAAGCACACCAGGTGACCCACGAAGGGGTGGGTCACCAGAAAACTGGAGTAGAAAAGCCAACTGTTTCATATGCATTCTGGGCCTCAACATGAGACGATGCATTGCCACTCAATACGTTTGCCATGCGGCGCAAGCACACCAGGTGACACACGAAGGGGTGGGTCACCAGAAAACTGGTTGAGACAAACAAATTGTTTCGCCTGCATCCTGGGCCTCGTCATGAGGCGACGCACTGCCGCTCAATGCGTTTTCGATGCGGCGCAAGCACACCAGGTGACCCACGAAGGGGTGGGTCACCCAAAAACGGTTTGGGAAAACAATTGTTTCACCTGCAGCCTGGGCCTCGTCATGAGGCGACGCACTGCCACTCAATGCGTTTTCGATGCGGCGCAAGCACACCAGGTGACCCACGAAGGGGTGGGTCACCAGAACCCCACGAGGGGGTGGGTTCTAATCAGTGGCGACGCAGGAGCTGCCACCAGGTTACTTGGGCATGGATTTTCCTAAGCAGTGGCGGAAATGTCCGTGGAGTGCAGGTTCGGCGCATTTGGGTTTTCCGGCCTGCGGTGGTGCAGCCGTCTGCCCGGGCAATAATTGTCACTGGCGACCCCCTTGTGGTTGAAGTCACCCTTTTTCGTTCCCCTGGGGGGTGGGTCTTTCGTGGGGGGACTCGTCGGGATTTTGCGCCCCACGGGAAGGGTGTGGGAGGGAACGGGATTCTTCATAGTTTTCAATTCAAATCCCCACGAACCTCGGGCAGCACGTGCGGCCCGGGGGGAGGCGGACCGCTCACCCATCCCACCACCATACGGGGGATGCGAAGACCCTGTGAGCGGGACGGGGTGGGCACAGGGGGGCCACCACATGGCATCCCGCACCCAAATCGTGGCCGTCATGGGCCTCTTCTTGGGATGAAGCACCAATCGGCCTCTCGGATGGGCACCATACGCCCGTCCACAACCAAAGGAAGCGCACCATTTGCCTTCCGCATTTCTTTGGCACTTGATTGCGACACTCATGGACCTTTTCCATTTGATACTTCAACCTCTCTCCAGTGCTCCAGTGTGGGCCGCGAGCGGGACTTGATTCCCCTGCCGGCCGTCCAGTGCACCCACATTGACATCATTGAATTCATGGAACTTGGGAGGGGGGAAGGCGGGAGGGGTCGTTTTGGTGTCTTCTTTGCGTTTTGCTGCCCTTTCGGGCTCCCTCCAGGTAGTTTGCGACCACTCTGCGGTCCCGGCGGGCGCAACCGATTCTCGGTCGGCCTACTTGCCATGGCAGGCGGCGGGGAACAGCAACGTTCTAGGGGAGGTCTTCGTGACGATGTTCGTTATGAGGGTCCACGGGGGCGTCTTAGCAGAAACCGTAGCCACCATAGGGCACGGACGCGGGACACGGGCACAAGCCACCATAGGGCTCGGGACATGGAGCGGACCCCTGCCCATCATAGGGCCGGCGGCCGCTCCAGGAGCCACCATGGGGTTCCAGAAGGCCCGTTGTGCCCGCAATGCGGTATCCGTGGTCATCTTGCTCGTGATTGTCCGTCGGCGGCGAGTCCAGCAACCACACCAAAATCGTCCTCCGCAGCGCACTTGTCGATCCTCCTCACGCCGATGCAGCATCAGCGCCGTGATCTCCCGCAACCACCACCTCGCCCACACTCGGTCGATCCGTCCTCTCGTCCGCGCTCTGGTGCTGTTCCTCTTTCCTCCCCTCCTCCTCCTCCCTTTTCCCGCTCTCCGCTTTCTCTCACGATGTTCTATCGGTGACGAGAGTGCCACCGCGATTCTCGTCTCCTGCTAGGTGTGGGGGGTTTTGCTCCGAGCGCCTGAACGACGTCCTGGGGCGTCGTTCTAAGCAGTGGCGACGCAGGAACTGCCACCAGGTTACTTGGGCATGGATTTTCCTAAGCAGTGGCGGAAATGTCCGTGGAGTGCAGGTTCGGCGCATTTGGGTTTTCCGGTCTGCGGTGGTGCAGCCGTCTGCCCGGGCAATAATTGTCACAGGTGACCCCCTTGTGGTTGAAGTCACCCTTTTTCGTTCCCCTGGGGGGTGGGTCTTTCGTGGGGGGCCTCGTCGGGATTTTGCACCCCACGGGAAGGGTGTAGGAGGGAACGGGATTCTTCATAGTTTCCAAATCAAATCCCCACGAACCTCGGGCAGTACGTGCGGCCCGGGGGGGAGGCGGACCGCTCACCCATCCCACCACCATACGGGGGATGCGAAGACCCTGTGAGCGGGACGGGGTGGGCACAGGGGGGCCACCAAATGGCATCCCGCACCCAAGTCGTGGCCGTTATGGGCCTCTTCTTGGGATGAAGCACCAATCGGCCTCGCGGATGGGCACCATACACCCGTCCACAACCAAAGGAAGCGCACCATTTGCCTTCCGCATTTCTTTGGCAATTGATTGCAACACTCATGGACATTTTTTTCATTTGATCCTTCAACCTGTCTCCAATTGTTTCACTTGCATTCTGGGCCTCAGCATGAAACGATGCTTCAACCACCCAATACGTTTGCCATACGGCGCAAGCACACCGGGTGACCCACGAAGGGGTGGGTCACCAGAAAACTGGTTGAGAAAAACCAATTGTTTCACTTGCATTCTGGGCCTCAGCGTGAGGCGACGCACTCAATACGTTTTCGATACGGCGCAAGCACACAAAGTGACCCACGAAAGGGTGGGTCACGAGAAAGCTGGTTGAGAAAAACGCATTGTTTCACTTGCATTCTGGGCCTCAACATGAGGCGATGTATTGCCACTCAATACGTTTCCCTTGCGACGCAAGCACGCCAGGTAACCCACGAAGGGGTGGGTCACCAGAAAACTGGTTGAGAAAAAAACACATTGTTTCACTTGCATTCTGGGCCTCAACATGAGGCGACGCACTGCCACTCAATGCGTTTGCTATACGGCGCAAACACACCAGGTGACCCACGAAGGGGTGGGTCACCAGAAAACTGGTTGAGAAAAACAAATTGTTTCACCTGCATCCTGGGCCTCGTCATGAAGCGATGCACTGCCACTCAATATGTTTGCCATACGGCGCCAGCACACCAGGTGACCCACGAAGGGGTGGGTCACCAGAACACTGGTTGAGAATAACCAATTGCTTCACTCGCATTCTGGGCCTCAACATGAGGCGATGCATTGCCACTCAATACGTTTGCCATACGGCGCAAGCACACCAGGTGACCAACGACGGGGTGGATCACCAGAAAACCAGTTGAGAAAAACCAATTGTTTCACTTGCATTCTGGGCCTCAACATGAGGCGATGCATTGCCACTCAATACGTTTTCCATGCGGCGCCAGCACACCAGGTGACCTACGAAGGGGTGGGTCACCAGAAAACTGGATGAGAAAAAACAAGTGTTTCACGTGCGTTGTGGGCCTCAACATGAGGCGACGCATTGCCATTCAATGCGTCTTCCATGCGGCGCCAGCACACCAGGTGACCCACGAAAGGGGTGGGTCACCAGAAAACTGGTTGAGAATAGCCCACCGTTTCATTTGCTTTCCCGGCCTCAACATGAGGCGACGCATTGCCACTCAATGCGCTTTCCATGCGGCGCAAGCACAACAGGTGACCCACGAAGGGGTGGGTCACCAGAAAGCTGTTTGAGAAAAACCAGTTGTTTCACTTGCATTCTGGGCCTCAACATGCGGCGGTGCATTGCCACTCACTACGTTTTGCCTACGGCGCAAGCACACCAGGTGACCCACGAAGGGGTGGGCCACCAGAAAACTGGCTGAGAAAAAACAATTGTTTCACTTGCGTTCTGGGCCTCAACATGAGGCAATGCATTGCCACTCCATACGTTTTCCATACGGCGCAAGCGCACCATGTGACCCACGAAGGGGTGGGTCACGAGACAACTGGCTGATAAGAACCAACTGTTTCACTTGCATTCTTGGCCTCAACATGAGGCGACGCACTGCCACTCAATAAGTTTTCGATACGGCGCAAGCACACCAGGTGACGCACGAAAGGGGTGGGTCACCAGACAACTGGTAGAAAACAACCAATTGTTTCAGTTGCATTCTGGGCCTCGTCATGAGGCGATGCGCTGCCACTCAATACGTTTCCCATACGGCGCGAGCACACCAGGTGACCCACGAAGGGGTGGGTCACCAGAAAACTGGTTGAGAAAAACCAATTGTTTCACCTGCATCCTGGGCCTCGTCATGAGGCGATGCACTGCCACTCAATACGTTTCCCATACAGCGCAAGCACGCCAGGTGACCCACGAAGGGGTGGGTCACCAGAAAACTGGTTGAGAAAAAACCAACTGTTTCACTTGCATCCTGGGCCTCCACATGAGGCGAGGCATTGCCACTCAATACGTTTTCCATGCGGCGCAAGCACAACAGGTGACCCAGGAAGGGGTGGGTCCCCAGAGAACTGGTTGAGAAAAACCAATTGTTTCACTTGCATTCTGGGCCTCAGCATGAGGCGACGCACTGCCACTCAATAAGTTTTCGATTCGGCGCAATCACACCAGGTGACCTACGGAGGGGTGGGTCACCGGAAAACTGGTTGAGAAAAACCCATTGTTTCACTTGCATTCTGGGCCTCGGCATGAGGCGATGCGTTGCCACTCAATACGTTTCCCATACGGCGCAAGCACGCCAGGTGACCCACGAAGGGGTGGGTCACCAGAAAACTGGTTGAGGAAAACCAATTGTTTCAATTGCATTCTGGGCCTCAACATGAGGCGCTGCGTTGCCACTCAATACGCTTCCCATACGGCGCAAGCACACCAGGTGACCCACGAAGGGGTGGGTCACCAGAAAACTGGTTGAGAAAAACCAACTGTTTCACTTGCATTCTGGGCCTCGACATGAGGCGACGCATTGCCACTCAATATGTTTGCCATGCGGCGCAAGCACACCAGGTGACCCACGAAGGGGTGGGTCACCAGAAAACTGGTTGAAGAAAACCGATCGTTTCACTTGCATTCTGGGCCTCAACATGAGGCGACGCACTGCCACTCAATGCGTTTTCCATACGGCGCAAGCACACCAGGTGACCCACGAAGGGGTGGGTCACCGGAAAACTGGTTAAGAACAACCAATTGTTTCACTTGCATTCTGGACCTCAATATGAGGCGACGCGCTGCCACTCAAAAAGTTTCCCATGCGGCGCAAGCACACCAGGTGACCCACGAAGGGGTGGGTCACCAGAAAACTGTTTGAGAAAAGCCAATTGTTTCACTTGCATCCTGGGCCACAACACGAGGCGACGCACTGCCACTCAATGCGTTTTCGATACGGCGCAAGCACACCAGGTGACCCACGAAGGGGTGGGTCACCAGAAAACTGGTTGAGAGAAACCAACTGTTTCACTTGCGTTCTGGGCCTCAACATGAGGCGAGGCATTGCCACTCAATGCGTTTCCCATGCGGCGCCAGCGCACCATGTGACCCACGAAGGGATGGGTCACCAGAAAACTGGTTGAGAAACAAATGTTACACTTGCATTCTGGGCCTCAACATGAGGCGACGCATTGCCACTCATAACGTTTTCCATACGGCGCAAGCACACCAAGTGACCCACGAAGGGGTGGGTCACCAGAAAACTCGTTGAGAAAAACCAATTGTTTCACTTGCATTCTGGGCCTCGGCATGAGGCGACGCATTGCCACTCAATATGTTTGCCATGCGGCGCAAGCACACCAGGTGACGCACGAAAGGGGTGGGTCACGAGAAAACTTGTTGAGAAAAAAAAAACTGTTTCACCTGCATCCTAGGCCTCGTCATGAGGCGACGCACTGCCACTCAATACGTTTCCCATACGGCGCGAGCACACCAGGTGACCCACGAAGGGGTGGGTCACCAGAAAACTGGTTGAGAAAAACAAATCGTTTCACCTGCATCCTGGGCCTCGTCATGAGGCGACGCGCTGCTACTCAATACGTTTGCCGTACGGCGCAAGCACACCAGGTGACCCACGAAGGGGTGGGTCACCAGAAAACTGGTTGAGAAAAACCAATTGTTTCACTTGCATTCTGGGCCTCACCATGAGGCGAGGCATTGCCACGCAATGCGTTTTCCATGCGGCGCAAGCACACCAGGTGACCCACGAAGGGGTGGGTCACCAGAAAACTGGCTGAGAAAAACCAATTGTTTCACCTGCGTCCTGGGCCTCGTCATGAGGCGATGCGCTGCCACTCAATATGTTTGCCATACGGCGCAAGCGCACAGGGTGACCCACGAACGGGTGGATCACCAGAAAACTGATTCAGAAAAATATATGGTTTCACTTGCATTCTGGGCATCAACATGAAGCGAGGCATTGCCACAATACGTTTTCCATGCGGCGCAAGCACACCAGGTGACCCACGAAGGGGTGGGTCACCAGAAAACTGGTTGAGAAAAGCCAATTGTTGCAGTTGCGTTCTGGGCCTCAACATGAGGCGACGCACTGCCACTCAATGCGATTTCGAAACGTCGCAAGCACACCAGGTGACCCACGAAGGGGTGGGTCACCAGAAAACTGGTTGAGAAAAACCCATTGTTTCACTTGCATTCTGGGCCTCGGCATGAGGCGACGCATTGCCACTCAATATGTTTGCCATGCGGCGCAAGCACACCAGGTGACCCACGAAGGGGTGGGTCACCAGAAAACTGGTTGAGAAAAACACACCGTTTCACTTGCATCCTGGGCCTCAACATGAGGCGACGCACTGCCACTCAATAAGTTT